GCGAAACAGGCGAAAGCAGAACAGGCGGAAACGGCAGAGGCGTAACACCGCCAGCACCTGAACCAGAGAGCGACGACGATGATGTGCAGGAAGTCATCCCGCAACGTCGCCACGACAGCACCATCTCAGGGCCGCAGCTGCTCGGGCTTCACACCGCAACCTCGAAGGCACCACGCATCATCGAGCCCCGAAACCCGCGCGAAGCACTCTCTGGACCACACAGCAAGGAGTGGCGTGAGGCGATGGACGCGGAAATCAAGGCACTGGAGTTACGCGACACCTGGGTGCTCGTCGACCGCGCAGCGATCAGAGGCGCAAGAATCCTGTCGGGGAAGTGGGTTTTCCGCGTAAAAACCGCAGCGGATGGGACGATCGAGCGCTTCAAAGCGCGTTGGGTGGTTCGCGGCTATGATCAGAGGCATGGGATCGACTTCGATCAGACGTTCGCCCCAGTCAGCCGCCACACCTCCGTCCGCATCCTGCTCGCCATCGCAGCAGCAAGGCACCTGCCACTCGCCAGATCGACGTGAAGAACGCGTTCCTGTACGCGTTAGTAGACGCCGTGATCTACGTGGAGCAGCCACACACCTTTGGCGAAGGAGACTCACGCGTATGTCAGCTGCGCAAGTCACTCTACGGGATCAAGCAGGCCCTGAGGCTGTGGCAGCATTACTTATATAACATCTTGCTTGAAATCGGGTTCAAGCAAATGCCACACGATCCAGGGATGTACCGCCGCGACTTTCGCGGAGAATACATCCTCCTCACTGTGTACGTCGACGATCTGCTTCACATAGGCTCAAACAACGAGCTCCTCCAGCAGTTCGAGAAGGCTCTGGCGGGGCGCGTCGACATCACATGCAACTATGAGGTGAAGCAGTTCCTAGGCCTCAACATCACCTACGCGCCTGAAGCCATTCACCTTTCAGCGGCTAAGTACGCAGAGGAGTTAGGGAAGCGGTTCAACATTTCACCTGCACCTCTCTCAACTCCCTATCGAACCCCCGGACCGAACTACAAACCCGACACCAAAGCCTTATCCCCTACTGGGATTCAGACTTACCAGCAGCAGTTGGGATGCCTCCTCTTCGCCTCTGTCACGTGTAGGCCAGACCTCTCGTACATCGCAAGTCAGCTGGCGCAGTACTCACGCAAACCAACGGCTGAAAATCTTCTGGACCTGCAACGCGTCCTCCAATACTTCGTTTCAACGCCCAAGATTGGGTTGCGTTACTCAACTGCACCAACCCCATCCTTCAATCTCACCGGCTATGTGGACGCCGATCACGCAGTAGATCCCGATAATCGACGGTCCAGGACTGGGTTCCTGTTCCGACTCGAGCCTACGGGACCAATCTCCTGGAATTCAAAGAAGCAGGAGTTGGTTGCCCTGTCATCAGCCGGAGCGGAATTCATCGCAGCAGTTCGCGAAGGCCTTTACCTACAGGAACTCCTGCAAGAGGCGAAAATTCCTGCTTCGCCCACATTCTGCCTTCACTGCGACAACCAGAGCGCGATTCGCATCGCGAACAAGCCTGGTTTCGTTAACCGCACCAAGCACATTGCGTTGCGGTACTTCTTCGTGAAGGACGAAGTGGACAAAGGAAAGGTCAACTTGACCTACTGCCCGACAGGAGACATGGCAGCAGATTTCCTTACGAAGCGGCTGCCACGTCAACAGTATCAGCACTGCTCCGAACTCAGTGGCGTGGTCAAGCAGGTCAAGTCGAGCTACGACCAGGAGTGAATGGGGGTGTTACGAATAGTAATATCTGATATTACTATGCACTCCTCACCGTAGCAAGGAACGCACAATATCGGGAATAAACGCAAGCGTCAGACGGTTGGAATTGAAGAGTCGGACGGTTACAGCACATCTGAACCATCGGAAGCAAACGGCATCGAACAGCTGCAGGCAGGATGGTTTTGGCGGGAACAGTTACGAAACTGTACGCCCCGAACGGTTGGGATGCACACTCGAATAAGGGAATGTACCCCTTAGAGTACATGGCTAGCTAGGTCGTTTCGTCTTCCCTGTACTCATATTTATACTCCCTGTATCTGCATGTCTTAATCATCTCAAGCATTTTACATTCACTCTGCTATTGAGATCAAGGGCCCACCATCACTACCTCACTACGTGCGAACTTACCAGAGTAGATCCTGAGCTACGATCAACTTCTGATCGCTACACAGAATATGGCTAATTTGTTCAAAGTTTAGGGTATGATCCTGCTATCAATGTAGGTATGGCTGTAAATGTTCTAGAAATCTGCACCAGAAATAGAATTTGGTCATTTCAAAATCAAACATCTACAGCACCCAGGGCTTACGCTTTTATAAAGACACCAACAGAATTAAACAACTCACAATGGATTTAGTTCGACGTTCCCAATTAAATGTATTCAAGACCTTCGAACGGAGACAATTACCGGTATTTAGCCTACTTCCTGTTGAGACGTTCAGGTGTTTCTCACGTTTGCTTCCCCTGTTGAGGTGTTTCTCTCGTTCCACTGATACCATTCGTTAACGGATTGCGTAGCATCAGGGAACGGAGGGCTGCTTTACGCAATAGATGGAACGGAGCAGGCGGGTCGTAGCAGGAAAGCGTATCAGGCTGAGTGCATTAGGGTGAGCGCATCATCTAGTGCAGCAGGGGATGCGCAGAAGGCGGATCGTCGAAGGGGGAACGCTCAGCACGCGTAACGCAGCAGGCGGTGTGTACTAGGGTGATCGTAACAGGGCAGTGCAGCAGCGAGAGTGGTCACACAGTAACGGAAATTGACTTCACGCTCCTAATTTCTAGGCCTCCTCGTTATTGTCCCCATTGCTCTCTTGCATCTCTACGGTAATTGGAGGACGTGAATTTGTTCCGAAGTTTTGATTGGCCATGGGCGGCCGAATCGTCGATATTCCGTGTAAGCGTCATTTTCCGCAATCCGGTAGCTGATGTGCTGACATGCTGATCTGCTGACATGCGTATGTGCTGATGTGTCGGTGTGATGATGTTTATTTTATATTCTGATGCTGATTGGCGCACCTTCATATCTTTGTGTAATTCATTTTCCGTCTAAAAGTTAGCCATGACTGAAGGTGATTTTTTTGGAAGCCTCAAAACCCCCTCGGGTTCTTAAGCTGCTTGAATCGGTGTTGTTGCTAATCCATGACCATGCATGGCATGAATTGCTGGCGTAGCTTTCCATTGTGTTCATCCTACTTGCCTTCTCCCTGATCTTCCAATCATGGCCGTTTTGCTCCTCTACTGTGGCGTCCCATGCCGCTGTTTTATTCGTTTGTTCTTTCATTTAATGTATTCCCCTGCTGATTCACGTGGCCTCTGCAGTAATTCCGTCCGGCCTATCACGCGATGACACGTATTGTCATATCCACCACTCGCTCCTCCTCCTGCAGCAAGTGTCAGAGGCCGTGCTGCAGCGAGTGCAGCAGAGGGTACGTTTCTTTTGCCTGTAACAGATTATCTGTCTCCCATGTTGCTGCTGCAACTCGTTCTGCAGCTTCTTGTCCTGATGTTGCTTTCCTGAATCCGGTCCGTCCTGTAGGCTGATGCAAAGGCAGAGCTGGTTGCTGACTGGCAGCACATTTGCAAGCAAGTTGCAGCCAACGGCTTGCCGAATCCTTCTCTACACTGCACGGTGTTGATAGATTCCAGCTTCTGCGAGTTTGTGTTTTCCCTCTTGCATCTTTTTTTTTGCTTCGCTGTGGTTGCTTCGCTTTGGAGGTCGAGGAGGAGGAAAAGCTTGTTGATGACAGACATCAGCGAGAGAGTCGCAACTTTCCTGAACAAGATGCGGTCACGTTGTTAATGGAATGCCTCTGTGAATTTGTGCTTTTTTTCTCACTTTCTTTTTTTTCCGTTTCGCTCTGCAGGTTGACGAGGAGGCAAAGCTAGTTGCTGACATCAGCAAGAGAGTCGCAACCGCTAGCGTAAGTGAATCAATTAATCACCACCACGTGTCGTCTAACATCCAGTTGAGTGGAATGTTTTCGCTTCGTATAAGATGCTGACGCTATTTCCTAGGCGATAGCTAATTGCCAAGCTTTTTCTTTCGCTCACATCCACTTCCGCTCCCTTCAGATGTCAGCACTAAGCCCAGTGCTTTTTTTCTCGACTCCCTGTTTCTGCTTTTCTTTTCACGTCTGTTTCTCCACTGCTGTCAGCTAGCTTTGTTCGGTCGTCCATTTCATTCCATTCCACTTGTGTTTAATCTTCTGTTTACCATCCTGCAATGCAGTAGTTTGTCATGACAGACAGGAGCAGGTAGGCCCTGTCCGCACCTCCACAACACCAGCACCAACCCCATTCTCATGTGCACCCTTCTCTTTCACGTGATCACCATCCTTCCAAATCCTTTCGCCATTGCAGAAGCAGGTGAATTCTCTCCTCTCCACTAGAGCATCAATCCACATACAATCCCCTGCGTCTCACATCCACCTTTCCATTTCTCTGTTCAACATCCCTCCTTCCCCATTCGCCATTGCAGAACCACGTGGATTCTCTCCTCTCCACCAGAGCATCAATCCACATACAATCCCCTGCGTCTCTACCAACCCCAACAACAAGACTCACGAGACTGACTAGTCAACCCCCCCATGTGCACAACAATGCAAGCCTCACCACTGCAGGCTCTTCCTGCGGTCTTCTCTTTCCCACCACGGTACCACTCCTGCTGGAAGCAGAAGCAGAAACTGCCATACCCGGAGCTACCAGAGCTACCAGTGCTAGCAAAGCTACCACTGCCAGTGTTGCACAATCTGCGAACGCTTCCCAGAATCTTCCTGGACAGCCATTTCCCGCACCACCCGCACTCCCGGCTTCCCTAGCTTCAGAAAAATCCTATATAAGCACTTCTTCCTCTGCTGAAACCCTTGCTGGTGACTATATTGAAGGGGAAAGCACACCTGCAGCGGATAGCAGCGTGGGGGATCCGAGGGGGTTTCTGGCCGCTCCCCAACTGGCCGCTTTCTTCGCAACCTCCTCCATGGCTGCTGCAGGGATTCCTAGTACCTCTGTGACAGGGCTTCCCAATTTTAGAGGGGATTTGGCTGTCACAGGGGTATCTGCTGCTCCTATGTCCCGGGCTTCTGGTGGAGATGGGGCAGGAGAGGGAGCTGTAGGAGGAGTGCTTTTATCGGGTAAAGAAGGAGGAGGAGTGAGAAGAGAGGTGCTTCTGCCTAACCCCCCTGGGGGGATGATGCTTCTCAGTGACTTGTTGCCTGCTAGCAGTGCCACGTCCCATGGGTAAGTTGCGCTTGTTTTCTTTTTTTTAGGGGGCCCCGCTGTTGCCTGCTACCAGTGCTGCGCCTAATGGGTAAGTTGTGGTTGCCTTCTGAGTGCCTAAAAAAATGCTTATTGCCTTCTAGCAGTGCGGCGTCCCATGGGTAAGTTGCAGTTGTTACTTTACCTAACGCTGCCTGGAAATGCTCAACCCATGAGTTTGGTCCTTGGCTTGACCTGTGAGCATCTTGGCTACTGTTGAGGCGCCTTGGAAAAAAAAAAACTATATTTGAGGTGACTCAGAGATGGTTTTCAACTACCTGCTCACAGTGAATATTATCGTCATGCGTTTGGCCCTCTTCATTTTGTGCATCTTGAATCCAAACGATGCCACAGATGGCCATTTCTTCCAGAGATGCTCCCGTTCATAACATGTGTATTTCTCTAACAATTGTTCCTCGCAATCGTCTTTTTGTCTGCTTCCCAACAATCGCATCCTCCTGTGCACCACACCCTGCACTAACAGCAACTCGCTCGATTCGCGAGGCACTGCCGCTGGTGAAGGTGCGAATTTGGGAGTGGAAGAGGCGAGAGAATCTGGGGCGTTTGGCACGCGTGCTGCCACTACCACTGCAGAGCTGTGCCTTGAGCTGCTGCAGCAGCCACTCACTCCCTTGGTGAGTTTGGAGCAGCTATTCACTCTCTGCAGCTGCTTTTTAGGCATCTAGATTTGGAGCGTCGGTCACGCATGCAGCCATGACCACTGCAGAGGGGCGGTGCCTTGAGCTGCATGGAAAGTACTTTTGAGAATTCTCAAAAGAGAATTCTCAAAAATGATTTCCATACAGCGTCAGTCACACATGCATCCACGGCCACTGCAGAGCGGCGGTGCCTTGAGCTGCTGCAGCAGCCGCTTGCTCCCATATTGAGTTACAGGTCTGAGTTTGAGGCTCCTCTAAAACGAGAATATGGAGTCGTGCACACGCATGCAGCCACGACTACTGCAGAGCGACGGTGCGTTGAGCTGCTGCAGCAGCCGCCCGCTCCTTGTTGAATAACAGATATGTATCTTACCGTATGGCCCCGGATATAGGCGCCGTCCGATTAAAGGCGCCGGCGCTTCTATCTGGAGCATGGCGCCTATGGCCGGAATTCGATTATAAGCGCCCCCCGTAGAAAACCTTTACTTATTATAAGCGCATATGCGATTTGAATTTAAATTCTTGCCTAAAACAGTAACGAAATCCATTTTTGCAGCGAGTCAGATTTCAATTTCGCTTCGTTTGACTCGTGAAGACCTGACTGGCTGTGCGTCCAGTCAGGATGTGCTGGAATGACGTGGCTTTGCCTGTGTGTGAACCCAGAATATCGCTTGTGCGAGATTCTGCATTGTGACGCTAAAACATTTCGACTCGGTTGAAATGGCAAGAAGAAAATGAACAATTTGGTGCTCTAAAAATATAATTTTGTATTTGTCATTATATAAGCGCCGGCGCTTATGGCCGTTATTCAATTACAAGCGCCACCCTTAAAAAAATCGATTTTATTATAAGCGCCATGGCGCTTATATCCGGGGTGATACGGTAGGTGCCGCTAGAACGAATATCTGGAGCAGTGCACACGCATGCAACAAGAATCATTGCTGATGGGTACACACATGCAGCGTTAAGCTGTTGTGCTTCAATCTGCTGCAGCAGACACTCGCTCCCTTGGTGAATCGAGTTGAAGTTTTCCGTTGTGACTTGTTGCATGGGAATGCCGTTTGATGGCCCCATTTGCGACAGTTCAACGCTGTCGCAATGACATTCAGGCGCTTCAAAAATCACGTGCGTGCAGGAAAATGCAGTTTAATGACCTTGTTGTGAGCGTTTCTTGGACATATGACTGGTCTCCATCCGGACTCCTTTCGATGGGCCCTGTTCTGCTGGTTTTTTCTTGGTGTGTCCGCAGGCAATGTCGGAGTTCCAGTTTCAACCTCAGCTCTCAAAGGCACTCGACTTTGCACTTCCGGATTCCTTGCCACTCCCTTTCGGGGCATCTCCTGGTGATTCTCCTAGTTTTCTTGGCGGATCTGATGAGTCATAGGGTGCAGTTTTGTGTACCGTAATCTGTTGCAACTGTTCTGAATGACACCAGGTGTGCAAGGTTTATGTGAAATTATTGCGTGAAATTCTTTTATTTCTAATTATTACTAGGAGAGCTGGTCCCTGGCTTGTTGAGAAAGGTATTGAAAGGATGATGGTTGGTGAGGTGCAAGAAGTAGTTGTGGTGCAAGGTAGACGGTAAGAGCAGTAGATTTGTGAAAGGGCTGGAGTGTACATTTTGGACATCAAATCGAGCAATTGTTGCTTTTATCGCAAAGCTTGCCTGACTGGTTTTCGGTTCTCGCTGCGCCGCAGATTGCGGCAGACTTGAGCCGCCAATAAATCATTTCAATGTTGGATTGACATTCCCCCAATCCAACCCAGCAACACCTTCAATTCTCACATCACATCGGTCATTTGGAACGCGTTTCTCACAGCTCAACTCAGACCATTCCTTCCATCCAGTCCCTCTGTCGTAGTACCTCGTTGCATCCACTCACCTGCTGATGGTTTACCTCCTCATCTTCCCTGCTGGCTTTTTTTGTTCATTTTTAATTTCGATGAGTGGTTCAGGCTAACTCTAGCTGTATAGCAGTCTTCCAGCATCCCTAGTCGACAGCATTTTTTCAAGATTACGAAAGTAACTAAGAGATACCTACGCGGTGCATTGTCAATTGGACTTCTAGGCGAAAAATCAATCACGCGACCCTCGTCAAGCTCGAAAAGCTCGTGTTCATCGGCCAACGTCAGACGGAATCAGGAGGTCAAACAAGGACAATCAGGGTCAACCATGGCGGCGCCTCCGTCTTCGGCGCCGATGGGCACGTGGACGACCGGCCTCTGCGGCTGCACCGAAGACTGCGGCACCTGTAAGCCCATTGTTTAGTAACAGCGGGTCTTGTGATGCAGTTCTGAGGCGCCTCAAAAGTCGTCTCTGCGGCTGCACCGAGGACTGCGGCTCTTGTGAGTCCATTGTTCAGTGATGTGTTGCGATTTCTTGAAGCGTTTTGTAATTCCACGCGAGCATTCTACTACTTCCAGTTTGCGCTGCTCCTCAAGCTACGTGACTGAAGAAGTGTTTTGAGAAGTCTCAAAACAGTTCTACTACAGTTTGCGTTGCTCCTCAAGCTGCGATCAAACTCTTCTTCTGTCGGGTTGGCTAGAGGTCTGTTTTGCCCTGTTGGAAGCATTGGTGTTTTGCTGTCGTTTCGCCTCGAAATTTGGACGCTCGACACGCTTTGGAGGTTTAAATATCGACGCGCCTTGTGCGCTCATCTTTGACACGTCTCAAAATTTGGTGTGCTGATAAAAGCCATTGTGTGGTGTTTTCTTTCTTCCTTACTTTCTTTCTTTATTTCTTTTCTTTCCATCGTATTCTGAGGCATTTTCCTGCAGGTTGCTGTGCGATCTGGTGCCCATGCATCATTGTCGGCCGAAACGCGGAAATTGTTACAGACGGCTTAACAGGTAACATGGCTTTACAAGTGAATCGCTTTCCTGATGGCGTCTCAAGGAATTCATGCTTTTCGGGACGGTGCCAGCGCCACGTGCTTCAACTACAGTAACTTGCAGCCGACTCTGTATGAAGGCTGCTCGGTGGGTCGCAGTTGATCAATGGAGAATGTGAATGGTGAACAGTGAACAGTCAAATGAAACTGGCCCATTGTTACGTGCATTCTAGTTGACCATTTTTTTCTTAGTCAAAATCAGCACGCCTTTTCTCTTGTTCTCGTTAGACGCCTCTCCGTTTGTACCAACACACACCCCAAACCCCGCTGCTTCCCTGCTGCTTCCACTTTTGAGAATTCTCAAACGTGTTTTCTCTAGTCAGAGTCAACACGCCTTGTCTCTTGTTCTCTCCTTCGTCGCCTCTCCGTTTGCACCAACACACACCCCACTCCCCACTGCTTCCCTGTTGCTTCCACTTCTGAGAATTCTCATAAGTATTTTCTCTAGTCAAAATCAGCACACCTTGTCTCTTGTTCTCGTTCGTCACCTCTCCCTTTGTATCAACACACTCCCCACTCCCCTCCCTGTTGCTTCCTTGGCCCACCAGACTCCGGCACCGCGTGCTGCCTCTGGTATCTCATCCAGATCCTCGCCTGTATGGGCTGCCTTGGAGTGTAATTCATAAAGTCACCTCTTCCCTGTTGCTTCTTTGTTCCTTCTCTTGGCTTCCCTCGCCCACGAAACTCCAGCACCGCCTGCTGCCTCTGGAATCTCATCCAGATCCTCGTCGGCAGAGGACTGCGTTTTGGCGTTTTATTCACAAGCCACCTCTTTCCTCTTGATTCCCTGTTGCCTGCCTTGGCCCACCAGGCCCCAGCACCGCCTGCTGCCTCTGGTATCTCGTCCAGATCCTCGTCAGCGTCGGCATGGGCTGCTTCTTGAGTTGACTCAAGCAAGATTCGCCTCTTTCCCTCCTACCCTGCAACTTGCGTGCTCCTGTTTTCGCTCTTTTGCTTCCTTCGCCCCACCAGACTCCGGCACCGTGTGCTGCCTCTGGTATATCCTCCAGATCTTCATCGGGATGGGCTGCCTTTAGAGTCTTATTCATACGTCATCTCCTCCCTGTTGCTCCCCCTGCCTTCGCCTCACCAGACTCCGGCACCACGTTCTGCCTCTGGTATATCATTGAGATTCTCGTCGGCATGGGCTGCCTCTATTTTCCCCCCCAAGCTAGATGCAAGAGCTCACCTCTTCCTCTCCTTCGCTGCTCATTCCCTGCACCTATGCAAATATTTTCCCACCGGACTCCGGCACCGCGTGCTGCCTCTGGTACATCATTCAAATCTTCATCGTCATAGGCTCCTGCTACTTCCTACCGCAAGTTAAACGCAAGAAGTCACATCTTTCCCTCTTCCCTGCTCCCCTGCACCCACCAGACTCTGGCACCGCCTGCTGCCTCTGGTATCTCATCCAGATCTTCCTCGGCATGGGCTGCTGCTACTCCTGTGGTAAGGCTGTGTGACTTTAACGAAGCAGACTGTAACGAGGTAAACTGGGTACTTTAGTACCGCGTGCTGCCTCTGGTACATCATCCAGATCTTCCACGGCATGGGCTTCTGCTATTCCTGTGGTAAGCCCCTGGTGCCCTTAACGGAGCAGATTGTAACGGGTATTTATTGCCCACCAGACTCCGGCACCGCCTGCTGCCTCTGGTATATCCAGATCCTCGTTGGCATGGGCTGCCTCTATTCCTGCAGTGAGGCTCTTGTGGCCTTAAAGAAGCAGACTGTAACGAGGTGAATGGGTTTATTAAGTGCCTTGTTCCAATGATGTAGGCTCCACAAATCGGAACTTCGCTACCTTGGCTTCTGTTAGTAGGAGCGATGGCTGTGTGACTGGGCCCCTTCGCCTTATCCCCTCCTCTCCTCCCCTTCGTTCCCTTTTGAGGCGCCTCAAAAGGCCTCAGAAGTTTTGAGGCGCCTCTATAGGCCTGCCTTGGAATCGGGTCTTCGCTGCCTTGGAATCGGGTCTTCGCTGCCTTGGCATTTGTTAGCATGAGCCAGGACTGTGTGACTGAGCCTCTTCGTCTGTGTTTTGAGTCGACTCAAACACTCCAGCTTTGGCTTCTGTGAGCATGAACAAGGGCTGTGTGACTGGACCCCTTCACCTTCCACCCTCCCTCCTTCCACCCTCTCTCCTCCCACCCTCCCTCTTCCACCCTCCCTCCTTCGATCCTCCCTCCTTCCACCCTCCCTCCTTCCACCCTCCCACCTTCAACCCTCCCACCTTCCACCCTCCCACCTTTCTGCCAGGCTTCCGCAAGAGGCTGAGGAACAAGTACATGCTGCCAGCCAAGTCGTGCGCTACTCAACATCATGCCCATTTTTCGATGCCTTTCCATTCCCTACTTTCTGCCAGGCTTCCGCAAGAGGCTGAGGAACAAGTACATGCTGCCAGCCAAGCCATGCGGGGACTGCTGCGTGCACACCTTCTGCTTCCTCTGCGCCATCTGCCAGGAGTATCGCGAGCTCAAGAACCGAGGCTGGGAGCCCAAGCTCGGTAAGTCCGAAGCTGTAGCCCAGGCTCAGTAAGGCAGAGGCTTGGATAGTGCTTGGGAACTGCTGCGTGCACGCCCTCTGCCTCCATAGCGCCATCCTCCAGGAGACCTGCGAGCTCGAGTTTCCGAGGCTGGCTTCCAACGCGGCCTGTGCCAGGAATACTGCAAGAATACTGCAAGCTCAAGAACCGAGGCTGGGAGCCCAAGCTCGGGGCAAGCCCGAGGCTGTAGCCCAGGCTCGGTAAATCAGAGGCCTGGGTATTCGCTTTGAGGACAGCTATGCGAACATCTTCCACTTCCATAGTGCCATCTACCGGGAGATGAGACGATTTTTCAGTCGACTCAAAAATCCAGGTGTGTTTTGAGTCGACTCAAAAATCGGCTCATCAATCGCTAACATCTTCCACTTCCGTAGTGCCATCTATCAGGAGTACTGACACTTGTTTACCCTGTTGTGACCTTGTTCACCCCGTTGTTATCTTGTTCACCTGTCTCTTACAGTTGACCCTTTACCCCTCTCTTGTCCTCTTCACTCTCTCATGCCCAAAAGGCTATATTGGCAATGTGAGTAGCTTCATGGCCTGCGGGTAAAGTGCCATCGCTTCTATCCATGCCTCCTCCCCTCCACGACCCCTCTCTCTGTTACCTTGTTACAAGGTTATCAGGGCAATGTGTGTCGCTTCATGGCTGGAGGTAAGGTGCCGCATACAGGGCAGCAGATGGAGCACAGAGCAGAAGAAAGCCTCACAGCCGAAACGCGTGCGTCCAGAATTCTAGAAGAGGCCCGGTCGCTTGCTGCTGTTAGAATACAACATTCTCGTCGCTTCATGGCCTACAGGGCGGCACACTCATTCCCGTCACTTTTATCTGTGCCTCCTCCCCTCCACGATCCCTCTCTCTGTTACCTTGTTACAAGGTTATCTGAGCAACGCACGTCGCTTCATGGCTGCGGGTAAAGTGCCGCCTACAGGGCAGCAGATGGAGCGCTGAGAAGC